AGAAGAGGAATTGATTAAAGAAAGGTAAGTTCGGCATGACAGTGTCACTTTAAATACTGACTTTCTCCTTTTCTCTAACAGTCTATATATCTAATTTTGAGATCTTGGTTTCCCATCCTTTTTAATCACTTTAAATTGCTGCTTGAATCACTCTGTCTTTTATGTTAATCGTGTATTTTATATGATGTTGTACATTAAAGGTTTTTTGTTTTGGTTTACTAATATTGCCTAATGAATGATTATCTTATTTATGGTGGTAACATTTTATGACCTGATCTCTCTCATTTGTGAGATCCTCTTTTTTTTTTTTTCTCATTTATTCTATTATTTGACAATTTACCCTATGTTACCTACCTAGCCCATTTTTTTTTTTGCATCAGTGGCTCAGCATTTCTTATGTTTAGCAACTGTAGCAACTTTTTTTCTTTAATATCAAATATATACCATAAACAATTAAGTGAAAACAATTACTCACTCTACATGTTAATGCTCTTCACCTGTTGTGAAAGGAAGAGCCCATGTGCACCAGTGAAGCATATTCCCCTGTACAGTGTTACATCTTACTCTGCCCTGGAAGACACTAAAAAGCGAAACAGTTCCAAGTGTTATATGTTTGTGCTACTACATGTGTTTCTCTATTAAACAGCCTCCGGGGTGCTTCCACATAATGTGGAAGAAAAGCATGCAAATGAATACATAATTAAATTAAATAAAAGGTACTGGAGAAAATAAACATTATATGACATTGCTTCAAATACATATTACTCATTGTATATTATTGTCAAGTAAACCCACATTTCCAGTTATCCTATAAAGAAAAATGCATAAAAAGAAAAAAAAATCACAGCGATTTTGTAAAAAAAGTAATATATTAATTTAGAACATAATGAGCTATGATACTTAGGATCCTTATCCAAAAAGGCTCTCTTTGGAGAAGAAGGCTGGCCATGTCCCCACCTCATCTGAGCATGGGTACCGTACCGATATCTTTGCTTGTAATATCCTGTACATCTGTAGCAGCCCAAATTGGTAGTTTTACTTTTCAGCCAATTCTCTTTACAACAGTGTTTAGGGCCTGTAGATATTACTATATCGCTAATGCTCTTGCCTGTTAAAAAACTAAACTAAACTTAAAGGTCTGTGGTAACATTTTATCACTTGACACAATGTTACAATGAGTCCGAATGGACTTTGCTGTAAATTCAGATGCAACTGTGTATTGACTTATACATGAATTTTGGAGATTGTTTAGTTTGTTTCCTAAGTGATGATACATTCATCTGGGTTTGGGTATCAGCTTTTCTTGCTTTAGATCAGGGGTCCTCAAACTTTTTAAACAGGGGGCCAGTTCACGGTCCCTCAGACACTGTTGCGGGCCTGACTATAAAAAATATTAACACATTTTTATGCACACTGCACACACACGCATAAATACACACACACAAACTGACATACATACATAAACAGACAGACACAGACATACACATACATGCGCATAAATGGCCACGCTCGCATTAGAATCTCCCCTTAGGAAAGCATTATTTAATGCTTTCCTATGGGAATTCCGTTGACGCTGAAAGTCCTCATGCATAGCGTAAGGACGTCCAGCGTTGTTTAGACGACCAAAAGTCGTCTAAGCACCCGGAAGTTTCTCTAGTAGCTATCTGGTGGCACAATGTCACAAACAACATAATTGAGGAGACGAGGTAGAAAAAATATATAACAGCTGGTTTGTGTTTGCATGTATTAGTGTATTTGTATGTATTGTTGCCATTTGAATCTGTGTTTATATGTAGTGTTTGCATTTAAATGCAGGTGTGTATTTATGTATTGTGTAGTGTTTGAATATGGGTATGTATGTACACATACACTGCCAGTCACACATACTTACACAGATATATACATGTATACAAACATAAATATACATAATGACAGAGATACACATACCCACATATACTGGTAAAATTACACATACACACTGGCACACACACCGATACAAACACTAATAACAAAGTCATTATTTCCATATTTTTGCCTCCTTCCTTATTCCATACCTTTTAGGTGCAGGAGGGTGGCTTTCCTGGGATCCAGTGGGCCCTTCAGGCTGATAATGGGAGTCTGTATCTTCTGTGCTTCCTCTCTCTCCCCCTCCTCTCTGCATCTCATCCTCCTAACATGGCTCTCTCTGTTAACTGGGAGTAAGTGATCTTAACTCGCTTCCTCCCAGCACCAACTTGACAGTGGCCAGTTGTGCTGTTAAAGGTGATGTCCATCGAGTGATGTCTGGTGATGTCCATCGAGTGTCCCTATGAGCAAGTGAAAAGTTCTGAGAGACTTTGACAAGTGCCAAATACTTGTAGCTATATGCCTTGGTTAGATCATCTTTAAAACCGCAAGTGCTGTGTGGTGTTCTTTGTATGCAGTGGTTAGTACCTCCTGAACAACCAAAAGACAACCGGTGAACCGGCATCAATGTCATAAGGTTCCATGACTCATTGATGCACTTGGGGAACGAAGGCTAGCCCATCTGGTCTGATCACACAGAAGAGCTACTTTAGCTCAAATTGCTGAAAATGTAATGCTGACCATTATATAAAGGTGACAGAACACACAGTGCATCACAGTTTGCTGCATATAGGGTTGTGTAGCAACCCATGATGACCCCTGTCAGCCCCCGAAAGCCATTCAAAGGAGACGCAAGTGTCAGAACTGGACTATCAAACAAAGAAAGAAGCCTATTTTCTTTAAGATCAGGTGCATGACTTGTTGCATGTGCATCATTTAACTGGAAAAGAGATGGCAGCAGGATGTGCTATGAGAAGAAGGCAGGCTGGCGGTGGCAGTGTTGTACTCTGGGCAATGTTGTGCTGGGTAACCTTGGATGTAGATGTTACTTTGGCAGGTACTATCTATATTGACAATGGTATTCCCTGATAGAAGTGACCCCTTTCATCAGCATAATGACCCATCAACACTACAAAAAATATTCAGCAATGGTTTAAGGAATATAACAAAGAATTCAAGGTGTTGCCTTGGCCTCCAAATTCCCAACACATTTTAATCTGAACATCTGTGGGATGTGCTGGAATAACAAATCTGATTCATGGAGGCCAAACCTCGCAGTTTGCAGGACTCAAAGGATCTCCTGCTAATGTCTTGGTGCCAGATACAACAGGACACAATTAAAAGGTCTTGTGGAATTCATGCCTCGATGCATCAGAACTGCTTTGGCAGCACAAGGGTGACCTACACGATATTAGGCAGATGGTTTTAATATTGTTGATCAGGGTATGTGACAGTGGTCATAAAATTGACACTTCATGTAGGATGACTTATGTTTAACTCACCCTGTGCCCATTATAGATGCCGGGTGTGCACTGTAATGTGGGAGTGCCATGTGTAATCTACTATCTAGCTACTACACCTGCAGGTTGTAAATGAGTCTGCAACAGTTACATGCAGCACCACCTGTTTGCAATAGTTATGTGCATTAACTGAAAAGCAAGACTCATTGCTTACGCAGGTAAAAGACATAATCCCACTTGTGTTGGCCTTTCCAAAGTGTCATTGTAAAGACAGTAATTGGAAGGGGGCATAGGTGTCACTACCTGCCTGTGAAAAGGAGGACTGGCAGAGTAGTCGATACGTGCCTGGGAGTAGGTGGACAGGCGGAGAGTTTGATACCTGCCTGCGAGTACAAGCACTTTCAGAGATCACATCTGCTATGGTGTTGTAGCTGCTGGCTTGATTCCAAGTATCGACAATAGTCTTCACTTATAGACCTACATCCCCGGTGGCGTTTCTTCAGAGTGCTTATTGATTGATGCTCTATTTAAAGTTAGGACAATTATCAGTATTAAAAGTTTTTCTGTTTTAATAGCAAGCCTCCATATTATAGCCTTCCATGTATTCTATATACTGCTAAGTTAAATGCAGATATAATTATGACCACACTGCCAGACCGGTGTATGAAAGTTATTCTCACTATATAGAATTGTTGTATGTTGAATATGCAAGATACTTTAGGACCTTTTTTATTACACTCCACTTTGTGCCTATATCCATATGAATAGCATTTTTAGAATTTTTTTGGAAAACTTCTATACTTATGTGCGGATTCTTTATTCCCCCCCACCCCCTTTTATTGTATTGCTCATCTAAGTATGATATGCTCTAGAGATCCAAGGAACTTAGACCATACTGAGCCAAGATATTGATGTTTCCATAAAGATCTGTATTGTAACTGTAAAAACTGGTGGTTCCACAATACTAATACAGAGAGATTACTGGGGAGCTTTAGAACCCTAGTTTCTTATAAAACTAAAAACCTCAGAAACGGCGGGAGAAAGAGCACAAAAAAACCCACACACACACACACCGCACATTTATTCCCACTAGAGTTATATCTAAACATAGCTTGCAAAAGCTGCTGCTCTCTCGTCTAAAGTCTTTGCAAGCCCTCCTATTCTAACCCAGCTCAACATTTTTGTGGCTGTCCAATCAGGTTTCCCCAATGCAGCTTAATAAAGTAATGTAAGGCAGGTGTTTAGTTTAGCTCCAAAGAGTTAAACAGTAACAGGACTGGATCTTTGATTCACAGCCAGGTGGGGGTGTAATTTTAGGAAAGTGACATTTTTTATTAAAATTTGTGCTTTGGTTAGATTGGGGGGGTGGGGGGTAGAGGAGGCACTGATGTTTTAGGTGCCTTTAACACATTTACCAAACAATTAAGGTTTGTAAATAAATCAAAATTTCAACATAGCAATGTATTTCAGTCCCCCACATCTGGTTGGCACTCAACACCCAAAGAGTACCAGCAAGTTTTAGTGATCTGGATTGTCCCTACGTTGCCAAACTACATTGGGGCATCACGGAACTTGTGTTCTAATAGTTCAGAAACTAACCAGAACATACATATTGAATTATGGTTTTAGTTTAACAATAATGGAATAATTCTCTTGTTACAAACCAGCTTTTCAAGATTCTATATCAAAGTGTAAGGCCCCACTCATTTAACAAATCCAGAGCTGTGTAGACCAGCAAATGCAAAATAATCTGGACAGTGTATAGTAATGAAGGACCTTTATGGATTACATTGTGATCTTTAAAAAGGTTACAATCTCATTTGATCTTCATTAAGAAGACTACCCAATGTACAATAACAAGACACTGTGTACACCACAGGAAATAGTAAGGTTTATATTTATTACATCCATACAAGCTTTGTGAATTAAGTGAACCTCAAACAGAAAACACACAATAGAGATGCAATTATCCACTAATTTAATCGTCGTTTTTGAGCTCCTTGATTTTTTGCTTGCGGCGTGCTATCTCCTTTTGCAAACGATCAATTTCATCCTTGTGATGGTCTATCTCCTCTTCATGGTGTTTCTTGAGGGCAGAGAGTTGCTCCTGCTCTTTTTGCCTACAGAAATGATAAAGATTGACAGACCATAATGTCAATTTTTACATTGTTAAATCTTTTATATTTATATATATAAAAAAAAAAAAAAACACAAAAAAAAAACAAAAAACACAACCACAAACACTGCAAGAGATTGTAGCCCTAACTTGTGATTACGAGCAATTAACCACAGTGTTTGGATTTTTTCCATGCATTCTGCAGTATCCACCTTTTAGGGTGTTTATCCTGAAAAAAGTAACCATTTTTTTCCCCAAAGCACTACCGGTCAATACAATATATTCTGTAACATCAGGAGGATTGACAATACTTCTGTTTTCTGTCTATGGCTTACAATGGTCACTCTAAGCAAACTTACAACAGCTTGTGGTACTGGTTATGGTATTCTTACAAACCACTCATACAAAACAATTTTGCCTTGGACAGCAAAGAGTTTTCAAGCTAGCCACTACTTACAAAGAGATACCCAAATATAGCTACTTTGTGCCATGTTGGTGTTTAAAAGCTAAACTGTACATGGCCTGCAGGTTCTAGAAGGGACACTCCAATGCCTAACCAAAAAACAAAAAAACTGCATTTAATTATGTTTTTTTCATTGTAGGTGTATCTAAAACTAGCACAGAAAGCTGAAATGCTTTCTGGAGTGACCCTTTAACCATTTCTATAATTATCCAGTACACCAGGCTGAGCAGGTGTTGCATTCTAGAGTCGACTACATTTACTTGTTAATAGGAAATATGTTCACATATTGCAGGAGGTATATTTATTTTGTTTTAAATTATTTTACTTTCAACCTAAGACGTGCCATGGCAACTTGGCATTCCCTTGTAGGACTAAATTCTGTTTTACATGCAATGGAACTTTGTATTCCTCTTACTGTACTGGGGTCAATTATAGCCCCAAATATCAATCAAACCAGTTGCTTATTTAATCAACCACATGCCAGTCAGTGTTCAAGATAACGTAAGTTTTATATTGAAAATTCTACACTTTTCATTTGCTCGAGGAGCACCCCAAGAGTGCCCTGGTCCTCCAGTGTAAGTAAACAAAACATTTGCTGGGCCTGTTCCTCCCCCTTCTAGTCTAACACCTGGAGGTTCCTGCTAGACGCTTGTTAGAGCCCCAGAATTATATGGCTGTTATATAGGTTTAGACCTATATTCACTAGGCAAGCTGACCCCTAAAATAACGTGACTACTTCTGCTTAGGCGAGGCCTGTGGACTCAAGTGATAACAGTGATGGTAAGCACTCCTGAAATTCTATTTCTGGGCAATCCATGGCAGCATAACAATAGTGTTCGCTCCACCCACTAAATTATAAAAATAGGACACTCACCCTGAAAAATCCAGATTTCCCCTCCCTATCCTGTCGACTGAACAGGGTTTTGTTTAATATTGCATGTTACAGCTCGTTTCTTTTTCTTTACCAAGAATAATATTTAGCACTCCCAAAAGAGACCAGCCTCTCTCATGCAAGACCCCAGTACATAGCACTGTTTTGGAACAGTCTCTTGGGTATAAGGGTTTTACTTTGTATCAAGAATACAATAAATGTGCTGTGATCATTAGTGGTCCTTGGATGGATAGGGAGCTTCCTGCTATGTGCAACCATGGGATGTTATCAAGCCTGAATCTGGCTTTATTTCTTTTTTTGTCTTAAGTACCAGCATGTTCTTACCCATTTGAGCAATCTCCTCCTTCCATTTATTTCTCTTTTTCAGCACTTCGCCTTCTGAGACAGCCAAATCTTTGAGCAAGTTATGTGCATGCACGAGTCTGCCCAATTAGAATCTGGTTCTTTGGGAATTACTTGTCGTGCTTAAATTGCCGATTAGAAGATACACTAGCTCGTTCCTGGGTGCAATGTTCGAATTTCTTTTCAAATACGTGTAGTATGAAATGAAAGAAGAAAAGGCTGCAGGCCATTCAAAAGAACCTTCTCAGTATATGTTAAAGTGGATCCAGATGAGCATGGACCAACGTATAGAACAGCATAGGTCTTGCAAGCACACACACGACACATAAAGAAGAGTGAGAAGACCCAGCATATAAGACTGACCTCCCCTTTGAAGATTTATGGTTTCTTCCTAAGAAGGGGAGTATGACACCCAGCAGGACCAAATGAAGACTCAAGAAATTTACTATATAATATATATAAATAAAAAACACTTCAACTTGGGATTCAGTGCCTCAAATAGATATGGCTACAAATTGAGTAGAAATAGCCTTACCTATTGATGAGCCTTGTTAAGAGACCATATGGTCATAAGTCATCTTGATTGTTTCATGTGTCAACTAATGTCATGATTGTTGATGTAAATTTTAACATTTGTCAACTTACTAATATGTTCTTTGATGACTTATGTTTGTTGAATGGTATTTGTTTTTGGGTACTTCTATATATTTTGGTCTTTACAACATCTATTTTTTGAATATATAGGGTTTAATATATGTATGGATATTATAACCAGGATTTGATATATTTATACATATTTTCTTTTTCGCTCCTATTCTTCTTTCACCTGGTGCCGCGGCTGGAGTGGAACGCATATGCGTTCCAGCCGCGGATAGATGACGTATTCAGAGGGACGTGGAGAGAAAGAAGATCTCTTCCGGACTGGTGGAATGCATGTGCGTTCCACAACGGCTAGGCAGAAGTCCATATATAAACTTGGACGCAAGAGAACTCAGAACAGCTGTTATAGAACACACGGATTGTTAGACAGGGCGTGGAATACGGCGAGAGGGACTTTTAAAAGAAGACCGAAGACATATGACTTTTATTGATGTATTTCATTTGATTGTACTACATGTTTTATTGTTATTGCTCCTGATGAAGTCTATTATATAGACGAAACACATAGAGCTGCCTGCAATTTCTGTAACCTGCTCCTTTCATTCACCATCTTGGAGAGAGGGATAGATCTTTGATGAGCATTTTTATTTTCCACTTTTTGTAAGTGCTTCAATTAAAGCATGTTTTTTATATTATTAAGATTTCACACTATGTCCAGTTCTTTTTTCTGCATGTACCCTTGAGGAATTTCATTGCAAGATCTAAAGATACCTCGATGGGCTTTGCACTACTCCTCTATTCTGTGAGTGCAATACTTACAGCAGGAACAGCTCTACTAAACGGTGTTTCCCTCTGCTTTTGTTTTTTCTAGGTATATCTTGTTTTGTGTATCGGTTTGTGTGGATTTGAGGAATCCTTTGTTACAGCCTAGATTTAAAGGGAAGTAATTAATCTTTATCCCCAACAAACCGCTGCATTTGGGTGGTCTTTTTGCTTATACACAGACCATATGGACTGTTGGATCGATCTGAATTTGCACAAGGATTATGTGGCAGGAGGGGAGACTAAAGCTAAAGCTCTCACTTAGTGGCTTTCCCTTCTAGAAGAAGACATTGAGATAGGGGTCCATAGAGCTTCTTTGGTGGAATCTCTTTCTGAATTTAAATGGGCTGCAGAATTTATTAAAATTTTCTTTTGTAATCTATTCCATACTTTAACTAGATATATGGCCTTACTGGTAACAGCACAAAAAGCCCTGAGGCTTAAGTCTTGGAATGCAGATTTATTTTTTGAAAGATTATGAGAAGTCTAAGATTATTATAATGGAGGCAGAGGGACAGAAGGTTTTACTTGCACGGTAAGAAAGGATCTCAAGCGATTGCCGTAAGACTCCAGCTCTTCTACGGGGGAGAGAGTTATTATGCATTTGGGGTTTTCATGAGCTGCAAGCCATAATCATCGCACTTATGACAAATCACGGCTTGAACTATCTTGCTTGGCATGTAATGCGTCTCATATTAAGTTGCATTACTGAAATAAATTAACTTTTGCACAATATTCTAATTTTTCGAGTATCACCTGTACTTTCTGAAGGCATGGTTTCCCAGATCTTAAAGTTGGGGGCCCGACTTCACTTCTGGGAGCACTGGGCTCATTCAAAACATGAACCACTGGGTAGCCTCTATCCTAAGGATGGAATGTCAAATAGAATTTCAAAATTGCAGTTTTTCAAGCACTCCAAAGTAAGACCTTATTACACTACATCAACAAGATAATTACAATGGTTCCATCCACTAGAGTTTCAGAAGAGTCTACTTGCCTCTTTTCCTAATGCCGAAGTAACCCAGCAATTGGAGACCTATTTATCTACACGAGGGGTTCCCAACCCAGTCCTTAGAGCTTCCCTAACAGTACAGGTTTTTGGGATTACCATGTTGTGCCCAAAGTGTTTTTTTTTTTTCTTAAAAACACTTTAGACAACTGGGTGATCCCTAAATCCTGGGCTGTAAGGAGGTACTTGAAGAGTGGGTTGAGAACCACTAATCTACACAAGCTGAATCAAACAAACATTCCACAAATTCAGAATGGAATCTCATTAATTATCTCAATGGTGTATCAATTAGATTGGCTAATCTCCACGGAATTAAAAATATGCCCATGTCAATATCCCAAACGCAGCTCATCAGTTTAAATTCTCCATTCCAGGAGACCATTTCCAGTTCAGAGTCATGCCTTTTTTTAAAGTTATTTTCACCCTAATCACAGAATTGAGACAATGTCTAAATATCTTCATTATTTGGACAATATAATTTTTATGGTGTAGCGGAGAGGCAGTATAATCCACAATATCTCCGCTGGGTAACAGGAACAAGAAAGGATAATCCAGGGGAATCAGCATGCAATAATCCAGGTAGCGCTGTAGTATTCTTTCCCTCCCAAGAACTAGACGACACATAGGCTGGGAGTCAACTGAGGTCTTTATTCACAGCTCCACAATTTATACAATTCCCCATGCAAGGGGTTTCCTGAGTCCTATTCCAGGGGCATTCCCAGAGTGGACTACAGGGGAAACTTAATGTACAGAGCTTTTCTCCCATCAGGCACTGCTGCACGAGAGGAATACTCCCACTGGAATGTACCGTTAAGTGGATTATCCCTCCGTGCAGCAGAACCGAAAATTCACATTAAAATCTATAGCTTTTCATATACTTGACAGATTTAAACGAATGGGGTCTGAGCACACCGTTCGTGTGAATACCGCTCAGATCCCAGCTAAATCAACCGAACGCCATACAAAAAACACTTTATTCATAATACAAGTTAAAAATACCGATTGATATAAATGAACAAGATTACCGAACGTCCCGGGACTCCCGAATGCTCTGGAAGCCCAGCGGTGTTCGCGCCGCCGAGTAGCCGTTTTCAGTTCCATGTGCTCGACGACCAAACACCGCTGGGGGAACAAAGGATCCAAGATGGCCGACCGCCGCATGGTCGGTAGTCGAACGGCGGCCACCTAGGAGAGCCTCGAATTACCGATTGCAAAATTGTTGCAATCGGTTAACAAGCGCCACACGCCTCTTAGTGTGTGGGCTATTGAAAGCTAGTTCATTCGGTACACGAACGGCTTGCAAAAGTGCCGTTCGGGAAACGAAATAGAAAATGACTATCAGCGTTCGGCAGATAGCCAATACAAGTAATACAGCAGGCAGGATACAGCAGATGCAAACAGTTCCATACACAAAATATACCGGCAACCCTTAAAGGCATATTGTCCCTGTTTAGTCCAAGTGGCTAGGTTTGCCCCATATGGGAAACTCTATGGAAACAAAAGCAGTTTCAAAAAGGGACAAAGCTCTTCATTCACTTAACCCCTTAAGGACGAGTGACGGACGAGGTCCGTCACTCATGGGATTGCCATAACTACGAGTGACGGACCTTGTCCGTCACCTGTTAAAACTAACCCCGGATTGCAGCGATCGCGAGGTTAATGGGGCTCCGGTCTGCCTCTGTATTAGAGGCAGACCAGGAGCACCTGATCAGGCTGCCCCAGCACGTGCTTGCTCTGACAGCATGTCAGAGAAACAAAGAAACATAGAATGTGACGGCAGATAAGAACCATTCGGCCCATCTAGTCTGCCCAATTTTCTAAATACTTTCATTAGTCCCTAGTCTTATCTTCTAGTTAGGATAGCCTTATGCCTATCCCACGCATGCTTAAACTCCTTTACGGTGTTAACCTCTACCACTTCAGCTGGAAGGCTATTCCATGCATCCACTACCCTCTCAGAGCGAGCACATGTGCTTAGTATACTTACCTTCCGCCTCCCTGCACTTCCTGGTCCTGTGTGAAGTGCAGGGAGACGGATCAGTGATGATCCTGCCCCCTGTTAAAAAATAAAGTTTATTTAAAATCCCACCCCCCTTTACTCATTTTAATTAAAAATTAACCCCTTCCCTGCCAATTGATCACTGACTACAGTGATCAATTGGCAGGGATTACATTTTACGGGCATCTGATTTTTTTTTTTTTTAACCCCTGAGGGTTAATTTTTTTTTTCTAAACCCTCTGGGGTTAAATTTAATTAATTAAAATAATATATGTTTAGCTAGCTGGGGTGGGTGGAAGTTAGTGGGGAATTGGGGGATTTGGTGTTAGGCTAACTAGGGGTTAACGTAAAAAAAAAAAAAAATTAAAATAAACTTTAAAAAGTTAAAAATTAAGCTAAAAAAAGTTGTAATAACGTTTAAGTAAAAAATAAAAAAAACACCCCCCTTTACCCAGTCCAAATAAAAATTAACCCCTTCCCATCGATCACTGCTTACAGTGATCAAACTACAGATCACAGTATTATACTGTGATCTAATTTTTTTTAACCCCTGAGGATTAACTTGGATTTATTTTTTAACCCTCAGGGGTTCAATTTATTTAATTAATTTAAATATTTTATAATTATATATTTTGTTAGCTGGGGTGGGTGGGAGTTATGCGAAAATTGTGAATTTATGGTTAGTGCTGTTTACTGCTAGTTAGGGGTTAACGGTAAAAAAAAAATTAATACGCAAAACAAAAGTTTAAAGACTAGTTTTTAAAAGAAAAACAAAAAAAACAAAAAACCACACATTTAAAAACGCTAATTACCACTATACCTGGAACAAACTAGAGGAAAAATGATCCCACGCTAAGGTTCAAAATATGCCTTTTGAATTACCCCAGGGTGTATTCTTTAATAAATAGTATGTGTTTGTGGGGGAAGTTTCAATAATCAACCATCTAAACTACTCCAAAATGGAACATGGACACAGCGTAAAACTTCAAAGTTAGAAAAAGACTGAATAGCTGCGTCTCAAATGCGCTCCTTCAACATCCACATATACCTGGCAAAGGTACATACAGGGGGTATTGCTGTACTCAGACCACATAGCTGATCAACAAATGAAGTATTATACAGTCGTAGCATACATAAGGTTTGCAAAATATACTGTGCAAACTCACTGTCAAAAAGGCAAAACACACACTTGGTACAAGCTAGCGGAAAAATGTTCCCATGCCAAGGTTCAAAATATACCTTTTGAAATACCTTGGGGTGTCTACTTTAAGAAATGGTAGGCCTTGTGGGGTAGTTTGAATTTAAACCCTGCTAAGAGGCTTGGAAATAGCACATAGGCCCAGCGTCAAAATTCAAAGTTCGGTTAAAAAAAACTGATATGGCTTGGTCTCCTATATGGCACTGTAGCTTCAAGAAATAGTGCCAAAGACATTTATTGGGGGTGTCTTTACTCAGAAGACTTAGCTGAGCATAATTTGGGGGGTTTGAACTTAATGGCACATATGAAATATACAAAATGCCCAGCAAAAATGCAATTCGTATGTAAAAAAAAAAAAAAAAAACAACGCACAAAATTATTTATTACATACTTTGGCATATATTGGTGAAAAAATGGGGGCCTGTTAAGGCACAATATGCACCTTAGGAGATACCCTGGAGTGTCTACTTTTACAAATGGTAGACCTTTGTGGGGTTTTTTTGAACAGTCAAACTGGTATAATACCCCAAATAGAAGCATAAGCTCATTAAATCCGTCTCAAAATTCTACTATGAGTACTGAAAAGGACAGGTCTCCTATATGGCACTGTAGCTTCACGAAATAGAGACATACAATGGGGGTGTCATTTTACTCAGCAGATGTAACGGAACACAAAATAAAACTTTGTACAGGAATAGCACACACCAACTTTACCAAATACACATGAGAATTTTTGTTCTAAGATTGTGTGCCAAAAACAAAACACAATTTTACTCCAATATTTAGCAGAGGTTGGCGGTGAAAAAAAAAAAAATTTAAATCCCAGACACATTATATATTCTGTAAATCAGAAAAACTAAATTAATTTATTTTTAATTACTTTCTTTAACCTGCACTAATTATGCACACATAAGGGAGAATTTATTTTTAAAATTAGAGAAAGATAATGAAATTGTTATCAAGCTGGCGGACAAGGGAGGGGGAATAGTCATTTTAGATATTACACGGAATACACGAGATTACTGACAGATCACATCACGTATACAAAATTGAAGGGCGACCCAACAGGTGAAATTAAAAATAAATTCTTAGAACTTATTGAGAGGGGCCTACAAAAGGAGATCCTGAACAAAAAGGAATTTAATTATCTGAACATAACCCACCCAAAGATCCCTGTGTTTTACTACCTCCCTAAGGTACACAAATATCCAGAACGACCACCTGGTAGACCGACAGTCTCAGGTATTAATTCAATATCATGCAGACTCTCGGAGTATGTGGATAAATGCCTCCAACCCATAGTACAAAACATCCCGAGCTATTTAAAAGATACAGGCAAAACACAACGTGACATTTTTAGATTTAGATATTTTTATAGACAATGACCAAATTAAGACCAAAACCCATTTTAAAGATGTGGATGTTAATAGTTTTATCCACACTTCCAGTTGTCATTTTTCTCCATGGCATTCCTAAGTCACAACTCATACGCATCAGAAGAAATTGCACAGACGATACCACTTTTAACCCCTTAAGGACACATGACATGTGTGACATGTCATGATTCCATTTTATTCCAGAAGTTTGGTCCTTAAGGGGTTAAAGAACAAGCGAATAAATTAATCTCAGATCTGCTAGAGAAGGGTTAGGAGGAAGATAAATTAAAAGAAACATTGACACAGGTTTCTAAAATTCCACAGAGCACTTTATTAAGGGAAAAAAACAGAAAAGAAAATACGGAACAAATTAATCTACCCATAATATGCAATTACAGCTATAATAATAAAACACTTAAAAAAAATAAAAAATCCTCAACAGACACTGGCCCATCTTATTACAGGATGACACTTTAACACAAATTTTACCACGCAAACCCAAAGTAATATTTAGGGGAGCTGCTAATCTAAATAGACTCTGTAAAAAAACATTTAAAAAAAAAAATACCAAACCCATTACCTTCTTGGATAAAGAAAAGGTCTTTTACGGATCGGCACATGCCTAGCATGTAGAAACACGAACAATAAAAAAAGACCTTTTACAAAATTTAAGAACTTCAATAGTAAAGAAGAATTCCAAAATTAAAGACCTCATAACCTGCCATTCCAACAATATAATATATCTGTTGGAATGCCCATGCGGTCTTAAATATGTGGGCCGCACTAAACGTAAATTACACACCAGGATAGAGGAACACACTAGAAACATCAAGAAAAAAATTTGAGGGACATAGCGTATCCCATCATTTCTCTCTAACACACAACAGCGATCCCACACTCCTCAAATTTATGGGGATACAGAGGGTAAAAGGCAATTGGCGAGGAGGGGATTTTTTAAAATTACTTGGACAGAGTGAGATGAAGTGGATATTCAACCTTGGGACCTTAAAACCCCAAGGTTTGAATATAGACTTCGAACTCTGCCATTTTATTTGAATTATTTATTTGTGACCCCCCCTCCCCCCCTCAATTTATATGTACACACATACATAAAGAATTTCACATTAAGCACTTTATTCAGTTCACAATATTTATCAATCATTTCCATTCATCTCTTTATATATAGTTTTTACACCTCAATTTTTATTCTTATTTCCTTTATTTATCTATTCATTCATTATCCCTATTTTTACTCTTATAATTTTGATTTATTATATTTACATCCATTTCTATTAGTATTATTTATTCTCATCATTTAGGTTTTATCTTCTAATTCATCTCGATATAATTTTTATGAATACCACTCAAAATTCAACCATCACCTTAAGAAATGTTTACCATTCACTAGCATTTCAATATCACTAATGCATCACTGTAAGTTTCACAATAGGACTATTATGGGTATCAAATCAGTGCTCTTTAATTTTTCTCTATTAATATAATCTCATTTTGTTTCATTGCAATCTATTTTATTTATTTACATTAGGCCATCCAGATGGTTTTTCCCCCCTCCCCCAGTCTGATTCATCCTTCCTTTTGTCATGTGCTTAGCACCTTCTGCTGCAGACCGGGGGAGGAGCCTAGGACCACTCCAGCACACCCTATGGGCGGAGAATGCCGGAGAGGACGTACACCGCTCCCTCCCCCCAACCTGCACGCAGGAATAGCGTGCGTCATGACGGAGGGGTTAGGGAACTTCCGGGCGGGGGCGGAATGGCGATCACGTGGGTCCGTGACGTCATTTCCGCCAACCGCCCGGACGCAAGCGGATAACTTCCGCCAACCACCACAGCCCACCAATGAAATTCGGAGATAAGAAAGGCGCCAGTTATTAGATCCAATTAAAGGGACACATAATATACCATATGAAGGACATGTAACCACCAACATGATTGGACAATATGGACTGCAGCCATTAAAGGGGAGGACCCCAAAAAAACATTCAAAATGGAAGATCCAGAGTACCAAACATCACAGCTGACTGAGGAAGCTCCACAACAAGGAGTGAAACGCGTATTGGCTATTTTAAAGGACTTTTTATAATTGTTTTTATTTGTTTTATATTTGAATAAAGCCATTACTTTTCATTTAAGATCCTTTTAATTCCTTTTTTGGAAACCTCAAGAGTATCTTCCCAGGGGTAGTGCCATCCCCATTCAAATTGGCGCAATACCTATATACCTAGAGCCGGGACCCACAGGCTCAGGACCAGGTGAGCACACCACTTCTTTCTAAAATATTGTGTTTCCACAAACACCATCTACACATTGGTCTGCTTCTCCTATTTTTGTCTTTGAGAAATACCCCATACCGAAGGAGACGGGCGGTGCTACCCAAAAAAAAACAAATAAAAAAAAAACACACACGCCAAAATACGGAGCCAGTACTCCATACAGGCTCCTTGAAATGTGAGTGTTCCATTTATCAAGACATCACCATAATTTTATTATTTTAAAAACCGTCTGCACTATATTGTATTTCTTGTATTTTTTTTCCTCGACATGCACCTTATACTCTATTATTGAATGAGAGACCATTTGGTAAGCTATATGTGTTAGAGCAATAACAAAAACAAGAATAATAGGTTGCGCTACGTAAATATCAAATGAAAAAGGGATAAATATGGCAAAACACTTTAAAACGTAAAAGAGGAATAATATGTATAAAGAAAAGGGGATTTAATAAATATATATAACAAATATATATATAAAAAGATAGTCCAAATTTTTGATATAATTTAAAAAGTTCAAATAAGTGGATGATAGTGACAGTACTTGGTATATTTCTCTTTCAGGTTCCGGTAAGTATTTGGAGGTAGAGAGTCCAATAAGAGACTGAATCTTCTAATCTTTAGAGGAGTCTTGATTCAGAGATGAACATGGAAAATATAAGCAACAAAGACGATCCAATAGTGTAGACTGTCTGTGATAAATAATAATAATAGGTAGGTAGTACACTCACCTATCTTAGAGCATGAACTTGCTCTAGTATGTTGGGCGTTCAGTGGCGTTTATCCCCCACTGGTAGGATATAGGTGAAGGTAATTCCTCGGTAATAAAAAGGAGATAAAAGCAGAATATAGTGCTCACTGAATCAAAATGAAATAAAGTGAAATAAAAGGAATACAAATACTCACATTCGAATGAGCAGGATAAACTGCTCAGTATATTCGCATAGGTGGTACAATCCCCACCAAGGATTCTTGGTCGTGGGTAGATTCCAAGTTGGTGAATGACCAGGTGACAGGAAATATTTTTAAAACAAAATTTTTAAAAATAAGATAAAAAGGTATATGGCAAAATTGATGTAAAAAAGCCACTATTCCTTTATTAGTACAATAAAAAATATATAAAATAGCCAAAACGCGTTTCGCCACACAGGGCTTTATCAACTGGCAATAATAAAAATCAGCCTGGTACATAGATACTTTTATAAACTATGATAAAACATGCTTATTCAAATTTTGGCGCCAAAATGACGTCATCCATACAGTGTGTAAAAAGCAAAATGATTAATAACATAAAAATACATAAAAATACAAAATGCATAGTATTCATAATTTAAAATGTAAAGTAATACATAATATTTAATAATAAAACGAGTGTTATTTGTTGAAATAATAGATAGAATCAAAAAATCATGTGATCGCAATCTAATGCGATCACATGGTGAACACTGAGGCAATATGGGAAATGTAGTGACAGGGGAGAAAGCAAAAATAGATGGTCACGTGATCGCGGACCTTCGCGATCACGTGACTGATTGCACACATCGATATAGGGTGTAGCCGCTCAGACGGAGGTCGGCAGCCTACGGCACGCCTCCGTCTGACATCAATGGTGGGGGCGGTGTATACCGCGAGTGCTCATGGGGTGTGTAGTGTTCAGACGGGGGCCGGCAACTAGGGGCACGCCTCCGTCTGACATCTACAAAAAAGGGGCGGCGCCTAATGCCGTTCGTGATCCACCTTGTGAAAAAATAAAAATAAGTGGCATAACAGCCAAAATTAAAACTATTATGAATAAAACAAATATGAATATATAGAACAAATATGAGTATAAAAACAAATATGAGTATATGAAGGAATAAGAAAAAGGAATAATAGAACTAAAAAAAGTGAAAGGTGTATTTAGGAGCTAAATAGCTAGGTATATATTGTTAACCTTATAAATAAATAAAGGGTAAAAAGTGAGATATATAATAAAAAATAAAAATAAAAATAATTTTATAAAAAATTGAAAAGGTCAAATTCAGCGTTCAAGCCCTCAGGAAAAAGAGTCTTAAGTGTAAAAACCCAATACATTTCTCTTTTGCCTAAAGGTTTTTATAATATCTCCACCTCTCCATGGGAGAGTGACTTGTTCTATACCAGTTACTTTTAGGAGTGTCGGATCTTTATTATGTATTAAAAAATGCTTGGAAACTGAGTGACTCTCATAACCTCTCCTAATGTTACGGCAATGTTCTGCTAGTCTCACTTTAAGGCATCTTTTAGTCATGCCCACATATTGGAGCCCGCATGGACATTCCAATAAATATATCACATTTTTGGTATTACAACCTATATATTCTTTAATGGTGTAGGAGGTTTTAGTAATATTAGAAGCAAAATGGATAGTTTTAGAATTTGTAATTCCTTTAGTTGTTCTACACACAATACATTTGTTACACTTAAAGCAACCTTTTGGTCTAGATAGAAAAGTTTTATTTTGTTGTACATTCTCTCTTGTGTAGTTTTTTGTGAGGATGGTTCTGAAATTGGGGGCCCCTCTAAACACAACATTGGGTCTCTCTGGGATGTAGTCTTTTAAAAGGTCGTCTTGTTTAAGGATATGCCAATGTTTATTTAGAATTTTTTTTAAAGTTTTATTTTTATTGTTAAAATCCAAAATAATGGGTAATTGAGGAGGATCTACTTTTTTCACTTTATATTCAAGAAGCTCCTTTCTTTGTTTCGTTTTAACTGTCTGTAAGGCTGTATTTAACTTGTCTGCCTCATAATTTTTGTCTAAAAACATATTTTTCAATGAGGTAGATTGGGCATTAAAATCAACTGTTAAGGAACAATTTTGATGAAGACGGAGGAATTGGCTTTTGGGGATACCATCCAACCAACCACCTCTAAGGTCAAAGAAATTCTAAATGTATATTTAAAAAAAGGATCAGATATGGGAATTTTAAACAAACATGAATTTGACTACCTCACCATTCCTTATCCTAAAATCCCAGTGATTTACTTTCTTCCGAAAATCCACAAGAATGCAGAAAATCCCCCAGGGAGACCTATCGTATCGGGTATTAATTCTGTCCTATCTAATCTTTCTGAATATATCGATATTCTATTACAACCTTTGGTTAAACAAACTAGATCATATTTGAAAGATTCTATGACTCTTTTATCTTTTTTAAGTGATTTTAACTGGCACCATGACTATATATTGGTAACATGTGATGTGCAATCATTGTACACTATAATTCCTCATGATATTGGTTGCCAATCAGTGGAAAGGATTTTAAAACAAAATAGTTCTATTTCAGATTCTCAAATCGATTTCATTATACAAGGTATAAAAATTATCCTTACAAACAATTACTTTTGGTTTTTAGATTCTTTTTATATTCAAAAGAAAGGTACAGCTATGGGAACCAGGTTTGCCCCCAGCTATGCTAACCTCTTCATGGCCGATTGGGAATCTACGGCGGTCTGGGGGGATCATAGCTGGCGGGCAAACCTGGTCTCTTACTTTCGTTACATAGACGATTTATTTTTCATTTGGCAAGGCTCGGAAACTTCTCTTAAACTGTTTTTAGACTTTTTAAATGTCAATGATAGAGGCATAGTTTTATCTTCAGATTTTAGTACAACGTCAGTTAATTTTTTAGACTTAAATATTTTTATTCAAGATGGACGTATTCAAACTAAGACCTTTTTTAAAGAAGTTTGCACTAATACGATTATCGACCAAACTAGTTGCCATCATAGACCGTGGTTGGATGGTATCCCCAAAAGCCAATTCCTCCGTCTTCATCGAAATTGTTCCTTAACAGTTGATTTTAATGCCCAATCTACCTCATTGAAAAATATGTTTTTAGACAAAAATTATGAGGCAGACAAGTTAAATACAGCCTTACAGACAGTTAAAACGAAACAAAGAAAGGAGCTTCTTGAATATAAAGTGAAAAAAGTAGATCCTCCTCAATTACCCATTATTTTGGATTTTAACAATAAAAATAAAACTTTAAAAAAAAATCTAAATAAACATTGGCATATCCTTAAACAAGACGACCTTTTAAAAGACTACATCCCAGAGAGACCCAATGTTGTGTTTAGAGGGGCCCCCAATTTCAGAACCATCCTCACAAAAAACTACACAAGAGAGAATGTACAACAAAATAAAACTTTTCTATCTAGACCAAAAGGTTGTTTTAAGTGTAACAAATGTATTGTGTGTAGAACAACTAAAGGAATTACAAATTCTAAAACTATCCATTTTGCTTCTAATATTACTAAAACCTCCTACACCATTAAAGAATATATAGGTTGTAATACCAAAAATGTGATATATTTATTGGAATGTCCATGCGGGCTCCAATATGTGGGCATGACTAAAAGATGCCTTAAAGTGAGACTAGCAGAACATTGCCGTAACATTAGGAGAGGTTATGAGAGTCACTCAGTTTCCAAGCATTTTTTAATACATAATAAAGATCCGACACTCCTAAAAGTAACTGGTATAGAACAAGTCACTCTCCCATGGAGAGGTGGAGATATTATAAAAACCTTTAGGCAAAAGAGAAATGTATTGGGTTTTTACACTTAAGACTCTTTTTCCTGAGGGCTTGAACGCTGAATTTGACCTTTTCAATTTTTTATAAAATTATTTTTATTTTTATTTTTTATTATATATATATATATATCTCACTTTTTACCCTTTATTTATTTATAAGGTTAACAATATATACCTAGCTATTTAGCTCCTAAATACACCTTTCACTTTTTTTAGTTCTATTATTCCTTTTTCTTATTCCTTCATATACTCATATTTGTTTTTATACTCATATTTGTTCTATATATTCATATTTGTTTTATTCATAATAGTTTTAATTTTGGCTGTTATGCCACTTATTTTTATTTTTTCACAAGGTGGATCACGAACGGCATTAGGCGCCGCCCCTTTTTTGTAGATGTCAGACGGAGGCGTGCCCCTAGTTGCCGGCCCCCGTCTGAACACTACACACCCCATGAGCACTCGCGGTATACACCGCCCCCACCATTGATGTCAGACGGAGGCGTGCCGTAGGCTGCCGACCTCCGTCTGAGCGGCTACACCCTATATCGATGTGTGCAATCAGTCACGTGATCGCGAAGGTCCGCGATCACGTGACCATCTATTTTTGCTTTCTCCCCTGTCACTACATTTCCCATATTGCCTCAGTGTTCACCATGTGATCGCATTAGATTGCGATCACATGATTTTTGATTCTATCTATTATTTCAACAAATAACACTCGTTTTATTATTAAATATTATGTATTACTTTACATTTTAAATTATGAATACTATGCATTTTGTATTTTTATGTATTTTTATGTTATTAATCATTTTGCTTTTTACACACTGTATGGATGACGTCATTTTGGCGCCAAAATTTGAATAAGCATGTTTTATCATAGTTTATAAAAGTATCTATGTACCAGGCTGATTTTTATTATTGCCAGTTGATAAAGCCCTGTGTGGCGAAACGCGTTTTGGCTATTTTATATATTTTTTATTGTACTAATAAAGGAATAGTGGCTTTTTTACATCAATTTTGCCATATACCTTTTTATCTTATTTTTAAAAATTTTGTTTTAAAAATATTTCCTGTCACCTGGTCATTCACCAACTTGGAATCTACCCACAACCAAGAATCCTTGGTGGGGATTGTACCACCTATGCGAATATACTGAGCAGTTTATCCTGCTCATTCGAATGTGAGTATTTGTATTCCTTTTATTTCACTTTATTTCATTTTGATTCAGTGAGCACTATATTCTGCTTTTATCTCCTTTTTATTACCGAGGAATTACCTTCACCTATATCCTACCAGTGGGGGATAAACGCCACTGAACGCCCAACATACTAGAGCAAGTTCATGCTCTAAGATAGGTGAGTGTACTACCTACCTATTATTATTATTATTTATCACAGACAGTCTACACTATTGGATCGTCTTTGTTGCTTATATTTTCCATGTTCATCTCTGAATCAAGACTCCTCTAAAGATTAGAAGATTCAGTCTCTTATTGGACTCTCTACCTCCAAATACTTACCGGAACCTGAAAGAGAAATATACCAAGTACTGTCACTATCATCCACTTATTTGAACTTTTTAAATTATATCAAAAATTTGGACTATCTTTTTATATATATATTTGTTATATATATTTATTAAATCCCCTTTTTCTCTATACATATTATTCCTCTTTTACGTTTTAAAGTGTTTTGCCATATTTATCCCTTTTTCATTTGATATTTACGTAGCGCAACCTATTATTCTTGTTTTTGTTATTTCTCTTTTGAGGACTTCAGAGGGAACCTCATACCTATAGGCTGCAGCTTTCCACTTGATCACATCACACAGCGCTGATCCATTTTCTACCTATATGTGTTAGAGCGCTCCACTTACTGGTATAAGTCTTTTGTAACTTACACCACACTAAAAAATTCAAATTTTGTTTCGTGGAATAGAGGATATTTCCGCATAAGTGTATAGAGCAGCTTGTAAATCACTGTATCTGTTTAAAAACTCTGTTATACACATTCCTCTGTAAAAGGAGGTATTCTTTGATTGGTATTCATAAAAATTACATGGACCTAAGGACCAAACTTTCTGATTCCAATTTCCCTTTCTGAGCTTGACGGCTATGTCATTGTCAATCCCTCTGATATGAACTGCCGAAATATCTACTAGATATTTTTGCACCTCAGGAAGATAACCGCATGCAGGCGATTAAGAGCGCCTACTCTGGTTCCTCCTTGCCGGTTGACGTATCAAGCCGTTGTACAAGTTTCCGTATGAATCTTTACGGCCTTCCGCTGTATCCACGGTCTGAAGAGATGAAGGGTGGGAAGCACAGCTTTAAACCCCTGAAATCTGTGTTCTCCCTTAACCTAGACCACAAAACATGATGGAGACTAGATAAGCTCACCAACCAGGTTTGGTAGCATCTGTAGTGATCACCAAGATCTTTAGACGGAAGGCAAGCCTCCTGAAGGGAACTCTGAGGATTTCCACCAAGAAAGTAGAGCTTTACTCGATGGAAAATCTGAAGAAAAAAAAAAAAAAACCCCACACATCTAGATCCTCTACCTTTCCCGACTAGGCTGATAGGAACTCCCATTTTAGAGTCATACATCGGAATTTGCCCACTGGAACCACGGGAAAGGCGGATGTGTGGAGACCTAGAATGTTAAAGCGCGTCTGATGGAGCTATCTCTCTCTAATACTGTGTTTGATACTATTCAATTTGGGCTCCTGCCTCTATTTATTTATACTGCCTAGATATTACATCTGATTCAGAAGAGTATCCGGTTTTGCTATACTGTGGGTTTATCCCTTTCCATTGGAGCAATTCAAACCCAGAGCCAGGGGTGATAGGGCTCTGGTCCATGTGAGTTGATCCCCAGACACACTTAATTTTGCATATCCTGTACATACAGATAGTCTGCACTATATACTGTATATTTTTTCAGAGTACTCAGAAGATCCTGACTCTAGTGCAGTTGCTAGCACACTCCAACTTTTTGGTATCTATTGCTAATTTGTGTCACTTGGGGGTAGTGCAGCAGCACTGCAGATATTCTTAAGCACTTTGAATCCATCTGGTTTTTCACTTAGTGAGTACATATACTGCTCACAGCAACTTGTTATAGAACATATAGTGGGTACATATACTGCTCACAGCCACTCATATATAGAGCATATAGTGGATACACACTGTGTCTCTGCAGGAGATATCAGCCCTATGTCCATAGGGTTAAAATGCCGAAACTTTCTCTATAGGGAAAGCGGACCAAAACATTGCCCATCCTGAAATAAAAGCTTGTTTTTGTTTTTTATGTTACCACTCTCCGTCCTCTTTTCCTCGTAGCTTCATACTCCTTGTAAATTAAGTGTATAAACTTTTACAGAGAATTTTGAAGGAAAGATTACTTTTACCTCAAAATACCTCTGAGCTATGTGGGGCGGCTGGTGACACAGCATACCACTTCTGGCAAGCATCCATGCTGTCAGTGGGTACTGCACAGCTTCATCTATGCCAAACAAATTTCGTTTTTTTTGTTTTGTTTTTTTAACGGAAAGAGCATGGTCTCTCAGCTAACCGCACAGGCAGCTCTCGGACTGGATCTCCCAGACCAGCAGCCTGTGTTTCTCACCATCCAGATGCTGTGTCCTTCCCTCTCTGGACAAGAAAGGAAACTGGGGTAGGTTTTGCCGGATAGTCCTTTTATAGGTCATGGGGGAGGGGTTTGTTGATTTAATTAATCTTGTTAGATGCTTGTCCACAGGAAAGGGGCAAAACCCACATGTACTGCCACCATATGACAGAAAAATAAGCCTTTTTAATTACCCCAGGGTGTATTCTTTAATAAGTAGTATGTGTTTGTGGGAAAGTTTCAATAATCAACCATCTAAACTGCTCCAAAATGGAACATGGACACAGCGTAAAACTTCAAAGTTAGAAAAAAAACTGAATGGCTGCGTCTCAAATGTGCCCCTTCAACATCCATATATACCTGGCAAAGGTACATACAGGGGGTATTGCTGTACTCAGACCACATAGCTGATCAACAAATGAAGTATTATACAGTCGTAGCATACATAAGGTTTGCAAAATATACTCTGCAAACTCACTGTCAAAAAGGCAAAACACACACTTGGTACAAGCTAGCGGAAAAATGATCCCATGCTAAGGTTCAAAATATGCCTTTTGGAATACCCTGGGATGTGTTCTTTAAGAAATAGTATGCCTTAATGGTGTAGTTGTAATATGTAGCCTGCTCAAGTGCTCCAAAGTGGGACACTGACGCATCAAAACCCTTCATGAAAATTCACACTTAAAAACCTGAACTGGTCACGTCTTACAGCACTGTAACTTCACAAAATAGTGTCTAGGTCATACATTGGGCATATTGTTTTACTCAGAAGGCTTAGCTGAGCATAATTTGGGTGGGGGTGTTTGAACTTAGTGGCACATATTAAATATACAAAAATGGCCAGCAAAAATTTAATCCGTATGTACCAAAGGCCCAAAATTAGGTTTTACATATATTGGTTAAAAAAATGGGGGCATGTTAAGGCACAATATGCACCATATGAGATACCCTGGAGTGTCTACTTAAAAAAACCCACAAAGGCCTACCATTTGTAAAACAGTCAAACTGCTCTAATACCCCAAATTGAAACATAGGCCCATTAAATCCGTCTCAAAATTCTACTGTAAATAGTAAAAAAGGACAGGTCTACTATATGGCACCGTAGCTTCACGAAATAGTGCCAAAGACATACAATGGGGGTATCGTTGTACTCAGCAGATGTAGCTGTACACAAAGTTTTGTACAGCAATAGTACACACCAACTTTACAAAATACACATGAGAAGTTTTGTCATAAGCTTTTGTGCCAAAAAAATTAAATAAAACACAATTGTACTCCAATATTTAGCAGAGATTGGCAGTGAAATGGCTACGTAGAAAGTGTCAAAACAACCTTAAGACAATAGCCCGTGATGTCTACTTTATATAAATATATACTTGTGTGGCGATTTTGTTTTCTTTTATGGTTATTAAGCTTACAAGACAAACATACCAAATTCTAAAATCGCTCCACATTAAAAGTTTATTTTACTCCTTGTGCTTTGTGACCTGTAACTACCCAAAAAAAAAAAACTTTAAATCCCAGACACATTATATTCTGGAAACCAGAACAACTAAATGAATATTTTTTTATTACTTTCCTTAACCTGCACTAATTATGCACACATTATTGCAAAAACTGTAAACAAAAAAAAACAAACAAAAAAACAAAAAAAAAAACTAAATTTTTCTGTAATATATAATATACACACACATGGCCTGTATTTGTGGGAGGAGTTAGCGTTCCTATTTAAAGGCTACTCCCCCCTTCCTACCTTGCCGTACGCACGCTGTTCACCTAGTTCGACAAGTTCAATCATATCGTAAGTTTTTGTTTTTTCCCTGCTTGTTCACACGAACAAACATTTGAACGGGCTAACAGGCGAACGCTGTTACAATTATTCATTTTCACACAGAAATTCAGTAGTGTTTTCCCATGTGTAGTATCAAAGCATATAAATGAGGATTGATTTAGTTCATTTTACAGTTAACCCCATGAGTGCTGATTACGGTCTCTGCCATCACAATATTGTTTTTATAGTTAAACTGTCGCACATAAATTGTCTGTAGATGGCATATCAAGAGCGTATGGCATGTTTAACCCAGTAAACAGATCAATAAGTTACAGGTATGAGGAATTAGTAATTGCTATTTACAGATAAGTGGGATGTCTACTTTAAAAGTAAATAACAGAAATTCGGATAGATTCAGCCCTAAAATTGTTTCAGCAACTTTTCATTACAATTTAGCATACGTGTAAAGGGCTATAAAACATAAGCTCCAATTTAATTTGCAGTCTTCAAACATATGCAATTTACATTACAGTGCGTTGTGGATTTTCTGTGATCAGCCTATAATGGGATCGTTCAAGTTTGTCCTTATCTGCATTGTATTATTGAAAGACTGAATGCACGCATGCACCTTCTCCCCCTGTGGGTCCACCCAAGTTCCCTTAAATGTTTTACTATTTGTTGTTTTGATAAAACAAAATTAATCAAAATGTTGGTTTTGTGTATTCTACCAAGCCCGGTCTGCAGCGCATACATGTCCAGTCACATGATTTTCTGCATAATACCATGGTATGTTTGTGGTAGTGATTGTTCATGTACTTCCTGCAACATCTGTGCAGTTATATTTTTCTGTTTTGAACATAATGGAAACCCTTAATACAAATTATACATGGAAAAGTGGTACTGACATTTAAGGTGATTGACCGTCTCTGAAAAATAGAGTATTTTAATTGTATTAAGTTATCATCCCGATACCATGCGATCCAGTACATAATTACAATACCTGCAATTAATATATATTTGGTATATCTATCGCTGGACATGCCGGTTATGGTATTTGGGTTTAAAGGCTTACAGCCTAAACGTGACCGGTTTATCATGAATATAAGTAGTTATCCCCGATCCCCTGTAGTCTGAGTGCCATTACCACAAATCATTATAATCCTTTTTATGAAGCCCTGTACTATCATGGGGCTCGCGATCCGCCCAGAGAAGGGCTTTAAATTCGTGAGGGGACAAGTGCCTGACTGGGCACAGACGGGGTAATGTGGGTGTCAGATCCTTTCACAGCTCACTCAATTATCTCCTTCCCACGATTGGGAAACCATTTGCCGCATCAGTCTGTTTGCTCTGCATAGCGAGCCTGCAGATCGCGGTCCTTAAAATACCTTGCAAGCACAGCGTCTGCTTCATTACCTGTTCGGGTCCTGCGCTATCTGCCAGGATCACCACTCCCATCACAATCAGCACCAAGTAAGGCAGATTTTATACAGCAGCTGAGTGTGATAAAGCCTTATGTACGAGTTATATGAAACAGTTAGTTTGGAGTATAATGTGGCTGCCTGAATTTGATGAGAGCTATTCTCATGAACAGCTGCCTATTGTCTGTCTCAGACTGCAGTTTTCCTAATTGATATCACCTGTGCCTCCACGCAGCCCATACTTTAAGGGAAATATTGATTTTGTTTGTGTGTAATATATATATATATATATATATATATATATATATATATAAATATATATAATTTAAAAAAAAAAAATGATAGCTTGGCACTCTCCTTAAAAAAGAAAGACAGTATTACTTGAAAAAGACCCAGCAGGGTCGAAACGTTGATTGATTTTTGTTGTATACCGCACATGGATTAATAAAGCACCATTTTTTTCTTATATCTGAAGACCTGTGAGTGCATCTTGATTCGTATACATACAATATATATATATATATATATATATATATATATATATATATATATATATATATATATATATATATATATATATATATATATATATATATACATATATATATACATATACACATATACACACACACACACACACACACAATACACATACATATTCATACATATACATATATATATACACACACACACACAATACACATACATATATATACATATATACATATACACACACACACACACACAATACACATACATATACATATACATATACACACACACACACACACAATACACATACATATTCATACATATACATATATATATACACACACACACAATACACATATATATATATATATATATATATATATATATATATATATATATATATATATATATATATATATATATATATATATATATATATATATATATACACACACACACACATACACACATATAAATTATACATTAGTTTCACAAATTACTATGGTTGTTTCATATTGTCATCTGCTACCATTAGACTAATTACTGGTTCGCTATTGTCGCCTGTTTCTATCAGGTTTAAAAATATGTTTTTCGTTCACATTCCAAACGGCCTCTATAAGGCTACGTTGTTACACGATTGGGGTACAGGGGCTTGATTCCTGCCTTGCCTCGTCAGGCCACGGCTACACTCGACAACTCGTCATACGTTCATTCAAACTCACTATCAGTAACAAACGTCTTGTTACTCGCTACCTTGCTAGTTTTACCCTCCTCTCTCCGTCAGGTACTATCACACTTTCTTGGCACAGCACCTTCCTACATCTCCCTTAAGGAATATATAGTAGGCATCACAAGAATCTTCAGCACCCTCAGGGTCTAAGGATACTGTACGATATTAAAGGACCACTCTAGGCACCCAGACCACTTCAGCTTAATGAAGTGGTCTGGGTGCCAGGTCCTTCTAGTGTTAACCTATTTAGAAACTGCTATGTTTATGAATGGGTTAAGCCTGCCCCCTAATCCTCTAGTGGCTGTCTCATTGACAGCCACTAGAGGCGCTTGCGTGCTTCTCACTGTGATTTTCACAGTGAGAGCATGCAAGCGTCCATAGGAAAGCATTGCAAATGCTTTCCTATGCGACGGGCTGAATGCGCGCGCAGCTCTTGCCGCGCGTGCGCATTCAGCCCAGGAGGAGGAACGGAGGAGGAGAGAAGGAGGAGAGCTCTCTGCCCAGCGCTGGAAAAAGGTAAGTTTTTAACCCTTTTCCCCTTCCAGAGCCGGGCGGGAGGGGGACCCTGAGGGTGGGGGCACCCTCAGGGCACTATAGTGCCAGGAAAACGAGTATGTTTTCCTGGCACTATAGTGGTCCTTTAAACAACCACAAATATATCTCCAAGAACTGCACTATACTGCATTTAAATTTTCTTTCCCTCAACCACAGTTCCTTTCCTCTTCTTTCTTCCTCCTTCCCCTCCCTTCTTTTTCCTCTTTCTCCGACTAGGAATCTCCATGTACCGATCATAAACCACGACTTGGGTTCACCAAGGACATTACGTTACCCCCTTATCAAGCCCCCGTCTAGGGTCAAAGAAGCTGGCCTTAGCTGTACAACGTAGCTGGTCCTGCGAGGCCAACTCCCCAATCGTAACGAGGAGATTTTCGCCCCTCGGCCCAAATCTTAGTTAGTGCCTCGCATTCACCCACCTATCGGGTTTATAGTTAGGGCCTCACCTGACACGGCCACACGTTTTGGATTTTTTTTACAGTCACCGAGAGGCCGCCACCATGCTAGTGGCTCGAGCCCCACGCCCAAATCATAGGTAGAGCCTCTCACCAGCCGCTTGGCAACTAGCAGGGCCTCACTTGTCACAGGGTAGAGAGCTTTTCGCTTTGGCACTAGTTAGCCAGCCAGTTCTATATTACTTAACCGTATTGTTGTTAATCAGTTCATTGTTGTGGTCATATTCTTTTTCAGTATGTCCTAAGAAGGCAACATCGGAGAAGGGATTGCAGCATTTACATAACTATTAGGGATTACTGACAACACCCGAACATAATCCGCATTTCAGCATCCCCAACAAGTTATCACCATAGTGTTATTCGCTTGCACTAAGATACATACGACAGACGTGACATTCTTCCAAGACTTAATTCCAATCACAAGGTATTTCACAATACGATATTAAACGACCACAAATAAATAGAGATATATATCTCTCATCCCTATCACTCTCTCTCTCATCAAAGGCCTTTCTGTATATAATATATGTGTCAGTGCAATAAATTACTAAAATGCAAACTGCAGTTGAACGCAAACAAAAAAATGCAAAAATTGCTTGTGCCACTAAGCGTAAGACAAGCTTCTGAAGTCGGCTGCACTCTTGCTCATTGCAGTTCTAAGCTTGTTTTCAAGCTGATGCAGGTCGATCCAGTGCTGTAGAGGAGAATTGAGTTTTAACCATTCATGAAGAGTTTAATCCCTAAAGGTAAACCAGCACCTAGGACCTCCTAGCACCATAACAACTTTATTGTGATGATGTTATGGTGTCATTCGTGTTACTTTAAAGCAGGTGTCCAAAAGGTAAATCCCCAGATGTTTTAAAACTACAGCTTCCATGATGCTTCGTCATTCTAAAGGCACGCAAAGCATTATGGGAGTTTTAGTTTTACAACATCTGGAGATCTAACTTTTGGGCAGCGCTGCTTTAAAGGGACACTCTAGGCACTAAAACAGCTTCATCTTAATGAAGGTTTTTATGGTGCCAGTTATTTTACATTGCTTTGTGAATGACCAGTCAACTTTTTTCCAGTCTTATAACTTTTTTCCAGTCTTATAACTTCGCAAAAATAAAAAAAAAAAAAAAAAAAAAAAATCCAACAGCACTGTGGCCAACTTGACACTCATGGGAATGGAAACTGACACATTCTATCACTGTACTGGTTTCATGCTGCGTCATAACACTGGATTGGATTTCAGAATAATTAGTCTCAATGGCAAGTTTTGAGTTAAATCCACTTCATGTTATACAAGACAGTTTTCCTTTTCTGGTTATTTTGCCATAAAATTTGACAGAATAGAGACAATGCAACACATTTGTTGCAATACATTCTGCATGAAATTATATTTCTAGTTATATGCATCATTCTAATTTTAAGAGCCAAACGCAGAAATACAAAAGTTTCAACAAATGTGACACACACTATAAGGAGGTACAATAATTGAGGAGCCGCAGTCAACCTTTGTGTACCGCCTCCTACAAAAAAAACAAAACAAAAAAAAACCACCACACTTAATGCAGTTATAATTTACACACATTATTTGGTTATATTTACCGAAAATATTTTTCCTCTTCTGCAGCTTGCCGTTTGCCAAAAGCACCACCAGCATCTCTAATCGATCCACCTCCTCCACCTCCTTTCCCAGCACCTTTCCCCAGTTCTCCCAACTAAACAGACAAGATTAAAAATATGTTCAGTCTTAACAGGAAGCAAAGTGGAAAAGTAACAAAAATTTTTAACAAACTTTCTAAGTTAATGAATGCACACACTCACGAGATGTATGTATACTTTACAAATTACTTAAAGACACTCTGGGCACCAATACAACTTTAATGCATTTGATTTTGACCTCATTAATATGCTAGCCCCATACTGACCTATGCTCTGCTCAATTAAGGATTTAAATAAATCTTTGTTACAATAAATGTTATGCAGTTTTATATTCCTGCTCACAAAAGAAAACCCATATATCAATAGATACCTGGTTCTCCCCTGTCACCTGGGGCCATTTTAGTGGCCCCAAACAGACATGTGAGTTGCATGCAGAGCTCAAAGCAAGATTGCCATGCAACTCTTTCAATTGATATTTTAATCCCCAAAGAGAGCAATGAAGTGTGAGCAAGGTTAAAGGGACAATATAGGCACCCAGACCACTTCAGCTCATTGAAGTGGTCTGGGTGCCAACTCCCATCACCCTTAACCCTCCATGCGCAATTATTGCAGTTTTTATAAACTGCAATAATTACCTTGCAGGGTTAAGTCTAGTGGTAGACAGCCATTAGAGGGACTTCCGGGTTCTTAGACGACTTTTGGTCGTCCTCACGCTATTCATGAGGACCTACAGTATCGCCGGAATCCCCAAAGGAAAGCATTGAATAATGCTTTCCTATGGGGTCGTCTAATGCGCGCAGCCATTGCCGCACATGCACAATAGGTCTCCCCCGATGGTGGCAAGGAGCGGAGCTTGACCCAGCACTGAGTGACATCAGCGTTGGATTCAAGTAACTGACTGAAGGGGTTTTAACTGGGGACTCTCCTCTTCCTTTCCCAGTCATCGGCTGAATGCGCGTGCGCTCACACATTCGGCCAGTCCACAGGATAGCATTCTCAATGCTTTCCTATGGACGCTGGCGTCTTCTCACTGAGAAAATCTCAGTGAGAATCGCAGAAGCGCCTCTTGTGGCTGTCAATGACACAGCCACTAGAGGCTGGATTAACCCATATTTAAAGGACCACTCTAGGCACCCAGACCACTTCAGCTTAATGAAGTGGTCTGGGTGCCAGGTCCTTCTAGGGTTAACCCATTTTTTTATAAACATAGCAGTTTCAGAGAAACTGCTATGTTTATGAATGGGTTAAGCCTTCCCCTATTTCCTCTAGTGGCTGTCTCATTGACAGCCACTAGAGGCGCTATGCTTCTCACTGTGATTTTCACAGTGAGAGCACGCAGCGTCCATAGGAAAGCATTGTAAATGCTTTCTATTTGACAGGTTGAATGCGCGCACTTTGCCGCTGCGCATTCAGCCCAGGAGGAGGATCGGAGGAGAGGAGGCAGAGAGCTCCCCGCCCAGCGCTGGAAAAAGGTAAGTTTTTAACCCTTTCCCCTTTCCAGAGCCGGGCGGGAGGGGGTCCCTGAGGGTGGGGGCACCCTCAGGGCACTATAGTGCCAGGAAAACGAGTATGTTTTCCTGGCACTATAGTGGTCCTTTAAGCATAGCGGTTTCTCTGAAACTGCTGTTTACAGCAGGAAGGGTTAATTCTAGATGGACCTGGCACCCAGACCACTTCATTAAGCTAAAGTGGTCTGGGTGCTTATAGTGGTCCTTTAAAATTCTAATCCAGTAGTTGACCAACTTTTTTTTAATCCCATTATGTAGCTGGAGGGGTGGGGTGGTGGTGGACTGTGTGTGTTAGTGTTTAATAGTCACATACGTGAAACCAAACAAAATGTTATCCAATGTAAGCAAATCATCACTGGATGCATCACCTTTGTTTTAAGAGTAATTGATTAACCAAATCCTCACAGACACATAGATATCTGTATCTCTGGAGGTAAATAACTAACTATTGCATTACACTAGAACAGAGGCTGATACTTCAAAAACAAGGCCAATGTGATCAATTTAATGTAACCCTAGTTCAGTATAGCACAGAATAAAGCAAATCGAAATAATGACATAGAATTCTAGATCGCCCTAACACCCAGAACTCAAACATTAACCATCTTTTTCAGCAGTAGAGGCAGGCCGGCCTTCCCACTCATTCTAATTGTCATTACCATGACCAATGTCCTCCTACACCAAGGCACTCACTGCTAATAAGGACAGTGAGCAACTTGAACTTCATTTTCTACATCGTCCGCGCTGCCTTAGTGCTGGCTGAGGGTACATAGAAGTGTAATTCGCACACGGGCATAGTGAAGGTTAGTAATCCCAGGACAGGACACGCTTGGCCATACCTGATCTGAGGAGCGCCGCATTTGGACGTACACAATGTTTCTGAGACTTGCTCGCAGCAATGACAAACTCCCGGCCATTTTGCTGACAAATCTGACCTTGCAAGTTGACTACAGGATTCTGGGAGTCTGTCAGAACGTCATGGCCCACGATTCTTTTATAACCAGTGAACGTTCAGGATTCCGGGCATGCGCACTCAGCAACACCGTGCGTTCCAACCCTCACTGTCATTATACGTGTGTCTCCGAGCGGATAGACAGTGTTCTTTCAGTGACACTTGTTCAAAGTGACACGGGATAGCTTACATTCTATTGGTAAACTTTTTTTTTAACTCTCCAATTACTACAAGTCCTCTATAAATTTATGAATTATAATGCTCGCAGTGAAAGTGCCAGTTCATGTACTGAATGTGGACTTTTTTTTATATATCTAATAGTGACATAATTGCGGTAACTTCTTATTTTAGCGTATTTTCCTTTTCCATACAGAAATTGATACACATACCCCGCCCTGTCTCTTTTTTTTTTTTTTTTTTCAATGTATGTTTTTATTGTTTTATAAAGAGGTACAGTAGAGGAGACAAGTTCCTCATGTAACATAATACATACAGCTTATTATGATACACAAACAAGATAACAGAAAGGAAGAACATAAAAGAGCATAAAAGAACATAAAATTACGGTAATGACATATACAGTAGCCTTATTATCACGTTTCACTTTATACACGCTTATATACATACACCATGTGAAGGAAGGAGTGGTCTGGCGCATTAGGTACCTACATACATACATATGGGGATACACAGGTAAACATTACTATTGATTGTAGCCATGAAGTTCGATATTTGTCGCCATTTTATATACACGGCTGATCTAAGCCGCTCTCCCCTCTGCTGCATTAGTATCTGCTTGATGTACAGCCAAGTATCCGATAACAGGATAGCAGTTATGAAGATATAATATTAAGAGAGGGAGAAAACACAGCTGTAAAGGTGATGCAGGGTAGCTTGGCCTATTGTGAAGGGTATGTAGTTTCGCCAGTAAGGGTAACTTATAGATCAAGTGGACTTGCCGTATGTTGTAGTGTTATGAGGGTTTATAGGTAGTGGGCGAAAGTTATGTGATATACTTAAGTTCTCCTCGATCCATGGTGGACACATCATTCGAAACTTTCTTACTGCTCCCAGGCAAATATTTATGTGACATATGCTAGCATAATAAGAACTTGATATAAATAAACAGTTACAAATATATATACATGAGATAACCGTAATAACTGAAAGGGGAGGAGGGGGGAGTGGGAAGGGTACAGTAGGGCGCATCTTGTCTTAGGTTATAGTACTTTTATTATTATAGCGGGGTATAGCAAATTAGTGGTATGGATGTGGCTTAGTAGTCTTACTAGGTATAATGGGATAGGGTAGCCTAGTAACTCGTCATGTAGTGGTAGGCCTTGTTCTAGATAGAGTACTTTATCCACTCTTAGTTGCGGGATCTGCTCTTTACCTTGTAGCATGAGAATCTTTAAAAGACTCCCAATTATTCCATTTGTCCAGAACGTGTGACCTATTACCTCCTTTTGCCCATTCGCATTCGTGGTGGTATGTAACCTCCACCCCCCTCTAGAGTCTCCTTCAAAGAAGGAGGCTTGGTGTCTTTCCAGTGGGTTTTTTTTTTTTTTTTTTTTATCTAAATCCAATGCATTTGTCATGGTTGGAAAATGCAGTTTATATTCAACATGCCACAGGCAAATATTCACAGTAAATTGGTTATGTAAACAAACACTCGAGACACCATAACAACTTAAATTTGTTTTGGTTATGGATGTCCCTGGCACTGGCTCATCAGTGGTTTAACACCTAAGTTTATGTTGTTGTGCTGTATTGAACTGCCTCCTTCCACTATCGGAAGTCCTAGTTCAGGGGTCAGCAACCTTTGCATAGCACAGAAGGCTGCCAGAGCCAAACAGGCTTTGGCTATTAGGAGTCCCAACGGGACTTCAGATATCTGCTACTGCAAACCGAGCTGTGATTGCCGGTGGTGAGAGCCTGCAACTACTATCACAGCTCCTGCCCTTGACCTGTACCTGGCCAGCCTGGTCCCTACTGGACCCCAGGAAAGCCACCCACAAAGCTAGATATAGACAAAAGGAAGAAGAAGCCTCTACTTCATACAATTATTCCCTTAAGGACACAGTTTCAGAAGCTTTTCTTATCCTTAAAGCGGCACTGTAATGGCCGAATTCCATTTTTTTAAAACCCCCCCTCCCTACTCCACTATATCTAATTGTCCCCCTAGCCACCCCCAAATGCCCCTAAGCCCCCATCTTACCTATTTTTTAAATCTTTGTTTTCTACCCGGACCTAGGTACTGGGCGCCGCCTTCTTTGTGTGGGTTGATTAAGTTCCTGTGGGACACGTCATCTGCCCACACTAGAAAGCGCTGTGAAATTTCCGCGCATGCCCACTTGTGCATGCGAACGGGAATTTAATCTATTCATTAATTTTTCAGAAAGACAAATAAATGAACAGAAATTTCAAACGAATGAAAGAAGACCTCTTCGTTCATTCGTTTGGTTTATTACAAGGAGGGAGCTACCGACGTGCGGCTCCCTCCTTGTAATATGTAAAAATAGAAGTGGATGGGGGCCTTCAATGAAAATGGAGGGGAGGACCTGTTGTCCTCCCCACCGGCCCCCATCCATGAGGGGCCCCGAATGAAAATGGGGGCGGGGACCTATTGTCCAAGCCAACCAATCAGACTGCTGTGACAGGTAAATGTAGAGACTTACCTTTCAGTCTCTTCATTTACCTGTCAGAGCTCTCTGATTGGTTGGCTTAAACCAACCAATGAGAGCGCTCTGAGCCTAATTGCAGGGCGTGGTAAGGCTTTATAAGCCTTTCCCCGCCCTGCGGAGCTCAGTCTACGCCGTGCCCTCCCTGGGTGAAGATGGAATATTTTCTAGCGTCTGGGTTTTTTTTCCCGTCTGATTCAATTAAGAGAGGAAGAGCGCTCCCCATCTCGTAGGCCAAGTTTAATTGCAAGGGTTCGATTGTTTCCCCATTTACAAGCATCGCATGAATTATATCCTTTGATACAAAATACATAGGTATGCTTCTCCCTGCCAATTCACTCATTCCGGTTTGCACTTCGTAGATGTGGAAAGCAAGTGTGTGTAACAAGATTGGGTCATGTAAGAGTAGAAGTTTACGTTTAAACAAATCGTGACTTAGGTGCAACTCAGTGGACTTGGCAATTCTGAATGCAAATTGGTTGTAACAACTGTATTTTCCACAATGGTTAAAACGTCTTGAAGTTATTTTTGTTGGTGTATAGCCTGATGAATATAATTAATGTGTTGTTTGAAAGCAAAGATGTCCATATCCAGTGTTTGCACTGTGATAGAATTGGCTGCAGAAATTCCAGTTGCAACAACTGCACCAACTGCGGAACAAACCAAAGCAACGATGATTGCTGTTAGGAACCTTTTAGGTCGGTTATTCATCGAAATAGAACTGGGTACAAAAGGTTTCCGAGCTTGCTTGAAGATGTTTCGCACACAGTCCTGTGCTCTTTGGAGGTGCATCTGGTACCAGGCTTGTATCTCAGGAAAAACAGTTGTTTGATTAGCGCTCAGTGGCCAATTAGAAGCTAAGAAAAAATAGAGGGTAGGCTGCAACCTAAGGGTATGATGTTCCCTCACAGACCATCAAAGAGAATAGAGTACAAAAACAAAATATCAGGTCACGCTACAGTAAAGACAATAAATATTAAATAATGCAATAGAACCAAAAGGTATACTTACATACATAAAGTCATAAATGGGACATAGAATAGTCCTGGTTTAAAGACATAAAGATAAAAATCTGTTGGTCGTAAAGATTCTGAGGTAGTTGGATATTCAGGTTCCATTGGAACATATAAATGAGAAAAAACTCCAATAGTGTATCTGGTAGTGTAAAAGAGGAGCTTAGCAGTAATAGTAATACTCCTACTCACTTTTTAGAGAGCTAGTACAAACTCAGGTGTATCTGGCAATAAGTGGCGTTGATCCCCCACTGGTAGGATGTAGGTGGTGGTAAGTGGTGAGGGTCTTCTTCTTTTTTTTTTTTTTTTATTCTTTATTGTTGTAGTGCAGGGAAATACACACTGTTGTACACATGACATGTCGTATGGGAACAGCACAATTAGTCTTAAAGAGGTTTACATTATGTCACATAATCTGCACTTTTTGTATTAATATGCATACATGCATAGAGGGCCTGCACGAACATAAGACAGGCTATACGATTCAAGAGACTGAGGAAAAGAAAACCTCAGGCAGGCTCATAGATTACCGTTAAGCATTAGGTTAATTATGATAAACGACTAGTAGTTACATAAGAATATTTTGCCCCGGAGACCCCATTGGCTATGTGATAAGCAGAGTAATAAGCAGAGTAACCCTGCGCCTTGGGTTAGTTAAGAATTATTTAGGGAAGATAAGTATTAATAAGAGAAAGCAAATATCGATAGGAGAGGGCCCAAAGTAAATGTTAAAACTCAAAGTGATATTAGATGATACAGCATGGTGGTAGCAGATATCCCTGCCATCTCAGGAGCTTGCATCAGGTGTCCCCTTCCAGCTGTAAGCTGCATTCACTATGGATTCTGGCTGCAGCATGGAGAGTTTGTGTGAGTCATTGCCCCCTTGTGGTCAGGCTGTCTTCAGGCACAGTGGCCCTGTTGCAGGGGCTGGGATCCCTCTTTGAAGTGTCGCTTTTGCTGGACTGGCCCGAAGGTAAGTTCTTTAGGGGGGAGCGCTGTGGGCTGCTTCTAAGCTGCGTTTGCTGGTCTGCCGATGTTTCCATCTTGTTTGCTGTCTGTTGGTCCAGACTCATGGCGGTTCTGGTCTGGCGAGTACCGGGGCAGCACTGCACAGAGCCCCAGCTGATTTGGCTTCCCCAACCTCGTCTTCAACCTCCGCCAGGGTTCTTTGGGGAGTTTAGCCAGCCAGGAGGGAGAATTAGTTTGCCACTGGGTATGGGCTGTCGGAGTCGAGTTTGCCGCCATTTTATTTGTGACTCTGGGTCTCTTCCACAGTGGGGTGACGTTTTGTTGCTGCAGTGGCTTCGGGGCATGGACCAGGATAACTCCCACCGGCCCAAGGGGGGGAAGACGTGGCCAGATCTACGAGCTTGCGGGAGTCTGGCGTGACACT